TTTGGTTTTTCGAGACAGGGTTTCTCTGTGTAGCTTTGCGCCTTTCCTGACACTCACTTGGTAGTCCAGGCTGGCCTCGAACTCACAGAGATCCGCCTACCTCTGCCTCCCAAGTGCTGGGATTAAAGGCGTGCGCCACCACCGCCCGGCCCTTAGGCTTGTTACTAACTAGCTCTTACAACTTAAATGAACCCATTTTATCAATCTACTTTTTGTCTCCTGGCTTTATTACCTTTACTCTGTGCTGTCCATGCTGCTTCTCTCTGGCTGCAACTCCCCACTTCTTTCCAGCGAGCGTCCTGTGTGCCTGAAAATCCCGCCTAGCTATTGGCTGTTGAGCTTTTTATTAAACCAATCAGAATGACACATCTTCACAGTGAACACAAAGGTTCTTCCACGACAGGATAGGCTTCAGGCAGGCGTTCTCTGACCGAGCTGTGTTTTGTTGGTTGTTTAATTGCATTGTAGTTGGTGAGTGAAGCAGTGTTTTGAAGCCCAGGGAGCCTATAACTCACGGTGTATTTGAGGTTGGCCTAGAACTCAGTCTGTGTCAGCCTCCCAAAGCTCGGATTACTGGCACATGCCACCACTCCTCGCAGCTGATTTTAAAAAGTCATATTTGGGGGCTGCAGGTAGAACTTGAGTGTAATCCTTCCCCCCCAGGGGTTATGGCTATGACACCTGGCAGGATTGCGAGTTTGGAGCCAGTTAGTGAGACCCTGACTCAAAACCACCAACAGAAAGAGGTTTGGGGTTTTGTTTGTTTTTCAAGACAGGCTATTCTGGAACTCACTTTATAGGCCAGGCTGGCCTCGAACTCACAGAGATCCACCTGCCTCTGCCTCCCAGGTGTTAAGAGGCGTGCGCCACCACGGCCCGGCAGAAAGATGTAATGTTGGAAGTGTAAACTTCGTGGCAGAGTGGGTGCTCAGTGTGTCCAAGAGACCTGGGTTCAATTCCCATCCTTCTAAAAAGGTCTTAAATAAAATCATGACATCCAGATTATCTAGACCAGCAGTGGACTCTTGCCTTGGTGACTAGCAATTCAAGGCATGGGTTACATTGATACTTAGATTCCCTTGGAACATTGTCATTTATGTTTTTTGTTGTTGAGATACAAGATCTTGCTGTTGCCTGGGTTGGTCTCAAACCCAGTAACTTTTGGCTCCAGAAGTCCTCCAGCCTCAGCTCTTAGTAGCAGGGACTACAGCTGTATGGAAATTCATCCAGCTTATTTTCTTTCTGAAGCAAAACATGCTTTAATATTTCATGTTTTGAGGCAAATGTGTTTTCAAATGGATTTGAATTTTCTTTCTTTTTTTTTTTTGAGACAGGGTTTCTCTGTGTAGTTTTGGCACCTGTCCTGGAACTCACTCTGTAGACCAGGCTGGCCTTGAACTCACAGAGATCTGCCTGGCTCTGCCTCACAAGTGCTGGGATTAAAGGCGTGCCCCACCACCGCCGGGCATTGGATTGAAAACTATCATGATTAATTTTTTTTTTTTGTGGTACTGGACTTTGAACCCAGTGTGTATGTGTGTATATGGTAATCTTTATGAGTAGTTACAGGAATGGCCTACAGTAAGTTGGGCCTTGTCTCAGGGGCCCAAATATATCAATTTCCACAAAGCTGCTTTGTGATTTGGATCCAAATGTTTTCTGTTCCACTGACTTTTCCATTCCCTATTCATGGACGAGGCTGTCACTACCGTGCTAGTAGGCCTAACCTGTGTAACAGAGGCACTTAAGGTCATTCAGATCTTCAAGTTCATGACATACTGCTCTTCCTTAAAGTCTAAAAATTTCTTTGCAAGATGTAGAAATTACTTTTCATTTCTTGGGACATAATTTCAGAGTGACAGAGCTGTACAATGTCACAGTGAGAAAGATTCTGGAAGAACCTTTTGTCTGATACCAAAGCCTTTTTTCTTCTAGGTCTTATTTGACTGGATGATGAAAATTGGGTACCACAAATCCCTATACAGCCTTTCCACTTCCTTTCCCAGAAGGCCTCTGGAAGCGGAGGGAGGCTTGTCACTGGAGGACATAGGAATAACTGTGGACACTGTACTTAATGTGGAAGAGAAAGAACAGAGCAGCCAGTAAAGAAGCCACACTACCTGTTGTCCTGAAGTCGTTACTCGTGACCTCACACCAGTGTTCACATTAAAGCCATGCTGTACCTTGAGCTCCTCTTGTTCATAGGAGCTTACTACATACATGGAAGAGGACTGCTTTGTATGTAGTGGTTTGTGGACTATGTCATCTTCCAGTGTACCAAAGTGAGAACAAGGTAAAAAGGATATAGTAAGACAGACATCTGATACCAGGCTTCAGCCAGGCATGGTGGCACATGCCTCCTGGAATTTGAGTTAGACCATCTTAAATTCAACCAACCAACCAACCAACCATCCCCTAGCTTATATAAGAATTGATTTCTGCTTCTTGAATCCACCTTACCACAGTCTTTCAAAATCTTCAAGTATGAATGTTGATCCTATGTAATTTTGACTTAAATCCAGGGATGAAGTTTTTGACACATAAACTTCAGGGAACATGTTGAAATTACAGTAAACAAGACCATTGTTGGTAGGTACATTTGGAGTGTGAGCTGTTTTTGTATGCACTGATACCCTTAGAGTCTGTCTTAATCTTTAATATTTGGTGACAGGGTGTCATGTAGCCCTGGGTGACCTTGAATTCTCCTCATCCTCCTGGCCCCCATCCTAAGTGCTGGGATTACAGGCCTAAGCTACTGCACCCAGTTTATAAAGCGGTAGGATTGAACCTGGGGTTTCTTTATGCCTGGCAAACTCTACTGAGCTACATTCCAGCCCCCATATTTCTTATCTTTCAATTTCCAAACTACCCAAGTCTTTGCTTTCGGTGTCTTTTTTTTTTTTGGGTTTTTCAAGACAGGGTTTCTCTGTGTAGCTTTGAGCCTTTCCTGGAACTCACTCTGTAGCCCAGGCTGGCCTCAAACTCACAGTGATCCACCTGGCTCTGCCTCCGGAGTTCTGGGATTAAAGGCATGAGCCACCACCACCCAGCCTGGTGTCTGTCTTATAATCTCTCTAGAGTTGGTATTTATGACCTTGGAATAGTATCACTACTAAACTCAGATCAATTTATTCCTATTTCTAGGTCAAAGGAGACAACCCATCTTGGCCTTTCAAGTTTCTTGTTTAGTCTAGAGTTATTAAAGCAGACAATCCAAATTTTGTACTTAAAAATTATGAATACAAATCACTCAGTGAAATGTTTAGAAATGTAAAAATTGGCTTTTTAATGGTCTAAAAGTTATCAGCAAATATTTGACTTTGTTCTGCTTCTAAATGTAAACTATAAACGTGTGTGTGTGTGTGTGTGTGTGTGTGTGTGTGTTTATGCACGTGCGTGAGTGTGCACGCGCGCGTGCACGCATATCCTGGAATTGAATCTAAGGCCTGGAGTACCCTACCAGAGTTAATCCCCAGCCCCTAAACTCACCATGTAAATTCTGTCAGTATAGCTGCTTATTTTCATTACACACCAGAGATTTGTGACTTGGCAAGGTGCCCCACACCTAGTCCTAGCACTTGGGAGGTAGAGGCAGGAGAACCAAGGGGTCAGGGTCATCTAGACTATACCAGATCACCTCAAAAGCCAAAAGGAAATGAAAACCAACCAACCACAGTCTTAGGTATTTGTATCAAGTTTTAAAATGGCAATGCTTCCATTAAATGCGTATCACAGTTAGAATATTCTTGTTTACATTGCAAAGTTTATTTTTTCAGTACACCAAACAGGATGCAAGCACTGTCAGGACAAATATACAGAAATATGCAGATCAACATCAAACACTAATTTAGATCAAATGAAAGGAAATCTCTTTAATGTTATGACAACATACTCCCAAGAATCTCTTCTTCAGTTAGTTATACATTTCAATAAAATAAAGGGTAATGAATTAGTGGAAGTCAGCTGTGAAATCATAAAAATAAAACTCCGACTCTATTAATCCATGCCAGTTAAACACTGTAACTAAATTTCCAAGCACAGAGGAGATGAAGCAGTCAGTGACCCCTTTTGCTTAACCAGCCAAGAAGAATGGTTCCTACAACACAGCAGGCAGACTGATCTAGAACACAGTGTAATAAGTTCAGTCTCAAAGTGTGCTAAACGCTCATCATTAGTATGGCACGTTTGGTCCATGATGTAGTTTATAATGTCAAGACATATCACAATTTGTTACAGAAACACATAGATAACTTGTTTTTAAATATATATATATATTTTAAAAAGCCAGGTATACTTCCACATACAAAGAAAGGTCCTGGGGAGGAAGTTATAGGAAGTAGTCTGGGGTACGCCGGGTCACATGAGGCTCTCCACGACGAGGTGCTGGGTCAAACTGAAGACTTAAATGACAAAGAAAATGAGTCAGCAAGTGAGCCAGGAAGACACTGAACAGACAAAGCCCTCCTTTTTGTCTCCTGCTACTACTGCCTTCCACGTGGCTGGAATGACCCTGAGCACCTCACTACAGGTGATCAATCGCTTCACTGCACAGAGCTATGGGGAAAATTTAGACAACACGGTGGAAAAGACTCGTGACACTATTATCATTTGAAGGGCCTTAGGATCCTCTCCATCATGTTAAACCGGGGTGAGTGTACCTGTCTTCAGGCACAGCAAGCTTCCTCTGTGAAGTTTGCTGACTTACTTTAAAGAACATTGAATTTTATCAAGTGCTTTTTCTGTCTGTTAAAACCACCGGTTATTTACTTTTTCTGGTTCATTTTCATATTCTGAACCAACTCTGTGGTCTTGAGATCAGCCCCACTTGTATTTTTCTTCTCCAAGCAGTCCTGAAAGGATGTAACCATAGGCAGACACAGACTTCACAACTGTCAGGGGAGTATTTTACTTTCAATTTTTGTTGCTGTTGAGACAAGGTTTCATGTAGCCTAGAGTAGCCCCAAACTCACAGTAAGGCCTGGTCTCCCTGCCTCTACCTCGTAAGTGCTAGGATCTTAGGCAAGCATGTGTTAGCATGCACAGCAAATGTTTTATTTATGTACAATTTTTTTTTTTTTTGGTTTTTTGAAATAAGGTGTCCTGTATCCCAGATTAGCCTTGAACCTTGAATACTGGTATTCTAGATCTGCATCACCATGGCCAGTTTACATAGTGCTGGGCTTGAACCCAGGGCTTCATGTATGCTAGGTAAATAGGGAACTACGGGGCCCCATCCTCCAGTAGTACAAGTTTTATTACTTGAAACTTTTTTTTCTCGAGACAGGGTTTCCCTGTGTAGTTCTGTGGCTTTCCTGGAACTCACTTTGTAGACCAGGCTGGCCTCGAACTCACAGAGGTCTGCCTGTCTCTGCCTCCCAAGTGCTGGAATTAAAGGTGTGTGCCACCACCGCCCGGCTACTTTAAACTTTTTAAGATAAGTTTTAATTTTGTGCTATGAGTGCCAGTGCTCAAAGAGGGACCTTTTAGAACTGGAATTACAGATGGCTGTGAGCTGCCATGGAGATGCTGGGAATTAAACTTGCATCCTCTTAAGGGCAGCCTGTCCTCTTAACCACCAAACTATCTCCCCCATCCCCTGCAGTAGTTTCTGTTAGAGTAATGTGGGGGTAAGGAGAGGAATGCAAGTCTCTAATAGTCATAATGGACAGGTTTCTCTGTCTGGGTTCTTGTTAATTTGTTTTTCTGAGGGTATTTGTAGTCCTGGCTGTCCTGGAATTCACTACTTAAACCAGACTGGTCTAAAACTCTGCCTCCTGAGTGCTAGGATCAAATATGTGCATTACCACGCCTGGCTTAAGGTCTCTTAAGTTAAAAGGTTAAATGTTTTCCTATTACCTGTAAGCTCTTGGGAAAATGTCAATAAAGTGTAAATCATATTTTTCTGGGCTGGGCATGTAGCTCAATGGCACAGCAATGAACTGGCATGTATGAGGCCGTGGTTGCATGTACAGCACATCAAACGAAAACAATTCTCAAGTTAAATGTTTGGGGAAGAGGGTTTACACATATCATGTTCTATCATCTCAAACAGAACTCTTTAGTGTTTTTCATTCTAAACGATTTTTATTCATGTGAGCGTATGTGTATATGACTCAGTGTATGTGTACACATGTACACGTATCTATAGAGAAGAGGGTGCTGGACCCCTTGGAGCTGGAGTTACAGGTATTTGTGGGACCTGACCTCCAGTCCTCATGACTGTAGCAAGTGCCCTGAGCCGCTGAGCCATCTCTCCAGCCCCCAACTCTGTTGTTCAATAGTTACTTTCCCCTCTAAAAGTGACGACATACAATGACGATGTAATGTTACTTACAAAGAATATTTTAAAGTGTCATCTAATTCCATGATAGCAGCCTGGTTTCCACAGCGGTAGCAGTAATTGGGTGCACTAAAAATGGTAACCACATTCCGATCATGGCACCAGTTATAACCCTGCAACAGTAAGGAGGTCACTGTTTCATTACCAAGTTCAGTCTTGACTCAGAGCTCAGAACCTAAGGACTTCCGTGGCTATGTAGTCAAGTCACCTCTATGATCTAACAGGTTATGCACCTGCTCAGAATACTGTACAACTCTTAGGTCCCAGATTACTATTCTACTTCTTAGTAACCATGGAGCTTTTCTTAACCTATACTTAGGGTCCTGGCTTAGGGCTACACTGAACTTCTCAGACCAATATGGTAATCTCCCCATTTTCCCTCATAAACTCTGCCAAGTGCTATTTATTTATTGTGTGTGTGTGCGTGCATTTTTTGGTTTTCTTTTTTTCTTTTTTGAGAAAGAATCTTGCTATTTAGGTCATAGTGGTCTCAAATTTACAATTGCCCTAGCCTCCCAAGTGCTGAGACAGGACAGAAAGTACCTGGCTTCCAAAGTTTGCTATATCCATCTTGAAGGTAGCATTAGGCAAACCGCACTTGAGTAAGCTCTTCTGGAGAGCTGAGCCAATGCTCATCAGCAATGACTTTGATAATCTCTAAAGGTCACCTGCACCAGAACCTCTCACTCACCTCACAGGCTGTGTTTGGTAATTATCTATTTGGTTCACAGCATACTATTTTCATCCTTTAATTTGTGATGTTAAGTATGTTTTAGTTTTGTGTCAAATAATAACTGAAATTTGATTATCTTCTAATTTGGAGTCTCTGACTTTTAGGAAAGCAAAAGTCTTAGTCGTTACATTAAAAAAATATATCCAGTCACCATTGACATTTATGATTATACAATTATAATCAGGTTTTTTGTTTGTTTTGTTTTTGTTTTTGTTTTTTCGAGACAGGGTTTCTCTGTGTAGCTTTGTGCCTTTCCTGGGACTCACTTGGTAGCCCAGGCTGGCCTCGAATTCACAGCGATCCGCCTGGCTCTGCCTCCCGAGTGCTGGGATTAAAGGCGTGCGCCACCACCGCCTATAATCAGGTTTAATGTCGTTCTTATTCACGCTCCTACACCACTCCTTGCCTGTTCTGGGCTGGTGAAGTTTGTTTCCACCCTCTTAAAGGCATTCCTTGCTGGTTTAGAGGGACTATGCTCTCTTTTATCTCTTTAGTAGTGACAATACAACGGGAGCTGCTTGCAACTAAGTGACCAGTCACTATAAGCAGCAGTGGGACAGACTTCAACCTCCTGGATACAAAGCACTAAGGACACATCACTCTACAGTCTGCATCTCAAGCATGCATGGGATAACGCCATAACCATAAGGAACATTAGCTAAGTCTCTACTGAGGAGTCTCTCTCTGGAAGAGCAGATTGTGCCCTTAACTGCTGAACCACCAGCCTCTACACCAAGGGGACTTTATTTAAGAGTGTCTCCTTATATCTCCTAGGCTGGCCTGAAACTTATGACCCCCCTGCTTTGGCCTCCTAAATATTGGGAATGCAAGCACCCAACATGCCCAGATTTAGAAAGCTATTTCTTATAAAACAAAACTTTGGTCATTTCAAAACATCAAGAGCACATAAAATCTGAACAATTACTTGTAACCTGGACTGTTATATACACTACAAAAGTTAAACTTTGTTAGGTAGGAGTATACCAATGGAAACGTTCTGACTGAAATACTTATTACAATAGATAATGGCTTTAGCAAAATGTACCTGGAGATTTGGGGGTAAGGAGCATTTGTCAGGGCTGTTCAAACATGAGAAGAGAGTAAAGCGTGGGGGGGGGGGGAAGGAGGAGAGCAGATACATACGCTTAAGATACTTACACTTTAGGAATTTGAGCAAAGAATATAAAAAAAAAACTTGTGGTACTATTTTCACAACTTTTATGTCTCAATTTAAAAACTGAATGATAATTTTGCTCTGGGAAGGTAGCAGCTTCCTTACTTCCAAAAGTAAATTCAGATTCCTCCTTCATTTGGTAATGAGGATATATTTCCTACATCCCAAGTCATGAAGCCTTATTATAGATGCACACACCATGAGATTAAAGGTAATTCTGCAGGAAAAGTACATACTTCCATTACAAGCTGGTGAGCGCGAGACACCAGTGTGAGACCGTTGGCATGGTTAAATGTTTCAGAAATATCCTGTCCAAAGGTGTAGCCAGCACCACGTGGTGAAATACCCCATCCGCCACGGTCATCTGGATCTGACCATAAGAGATCACACATTGGGCCCTGGTCAAGGAGAACAGATATGCATTATGAATTATTAACAGTTATGCTTAGCCTTACCACATGTGATTATATTTTTTTTGTTAAAACCGCCAAATTTACCTCATGTGGAACTTCTTGTAAACGATCCAGGGCTCTTATATGATCCAGTGTATCTATGGATGGAGAGAGGCCACCATGGAGGCAGAATATCTGTTTATAAATTGAGAAGAAAATATATATATATTTTTATAGTTGCTAAATTAATGAAGAGTAAGTAGTGGTTGTAAATGTTAGCCCTGACAGCTCCCCTCCCAGCACCCTGCCCCTGCCGCCCAAAAAACAGAAAAAACTGAAAAACTTGTTAACTGCAGTGCAAAGCAGAGTCAGATCGCCAGCAGCAGCAGCCTCTGCAGTACCGGGGTACAGGGGCTTTCTTTCTTCACTTGTGGTCCTGGGGGTGTGGGGGCCTTCTGCATGCTCTACCACTGAGCAGTGCAGCCGCCTCACCCCACAGGCGTTTTATTCAGTGCTGTTGATAAATACGATCTTCACCCTCCTCACCAGTCACTGTCTTCTGCCCAGTACTCCTGATGTATAAAACCGTGTTTCTGTCAAACATCAGCATCCTACTGACTCCTGCCACTGATTACAATGGGTTTTTGGTTTTCCTGAGTACGTTACCACATTGGCAGGTTATTTTCTATACAGTCTGTCATCTTCAATTACTTTTAGTGTGTGTGTGTGTGTGTGTGTGTGTGTGTGTGTGTGTGTGTGTGTGGTGTGTGTAGGGGCACATCTAATAGAGGGGAGGGACAACTTTGGGGAGTTTGTCTCTCCTTATGCTGTATTCACTCAATCATCTCTCCTGCACACCCCTCTTCCTGTTAACTGTATGCAGTATGCACACATATGCAGGTCTACATGTTAGTGGGTGCACACGTATGTGCAAGACCCAAGGTGGGTATTGCATGTCTTCCTTCATCACTCTCCATTACTGGGGCAGGTACTTGAAGCCAGAGTCTGCTTATTTGGCTAGGCAGCTGGCTCTGGGAATGCCATCACTGGGAGAGAGGTCACAGGTGGGCACCGTGCCCTCCCTGGGTGCTGGGATCTGAGCTCCAGTCTATGTGCTTGCAAAACAAGTACTTCATCTGTCTATAAATTAAGAAGAAAATGTTTACCCATTGGCCTCCCCGGTAGTCTGCAGTTCCTTTTACTATAGGCAGTGAACTGCTGGGACTTCTGACATAAACTGACAAGTGTGTTTAGAAACTTTTCTCAGGATTACCCTCTGAAGACTGAATCAAAGAGAATAATGAAAATTTTAGTGAACAGTTTCTTATTTATTGACTGACAGGGTCATGCTATGTATGTAGCCCAGGCTGGCTTAGAATTCATCAATTCTGCCTGAAACTCTTGGATGCTAGGGTTATAGGTCTACATGACTGTATCCAGCCCTTTCCCTAATGAAGCATAGTCAGTGTAAATTTAAAAAAAAAAAAACCATCATTATATATATAAATCTATCATATATGTAAGAAAATATATCTCCTAAGCTTGTCACCCCCTTCCAGGACTCTGACTCTGTATAGCTATTTGGTTTTCTACTGGACTTCTGAGGTGTTCATGTCTTCCACTTCATAAACGATGACCTGTCATATGGGGTATGTGTGCTGGCAAAGACCGAGGAGTCTGGGGAATGCTGGTTGGTGTGAGAAATACATTAGGAGCTGTACCAATGTGTATTCCACATTTCAAAATCAGACACACTATCACTACTATTAACACTATCTTTCTAAAATAGTTTGTTCATTACTTAAAGGCTAATAAAGACTTGCTTGAAAAATTTAAATTTTAATTAAAATTTAACACCTTACAAATTTAGGCTTTCATTAAAGTTAGCAAGTACAGGCCAAGGATTATCATTTTAATTATTGCAGTATCCAAAATCACGGCTGGGAAAATGTGGATTGTTATCAAATTTATTCAAACCAGCAAGCCAAAGAGTATCTATTACACCTTCAAGGGCACTGGGCTTTTATCATTTAAAACTGCAGGGTCTTACTGTATGTTTTTTTTTTTTTGTTTTTTTGTTTTTTGTTTTTTTTTTTTTGGTTTTTCGAGACAGGGTTTCTCTGCGTAGCTCTGCGCCTTTCCTGGAGCTCACTTGGTAGTCCAGGCTGGCCTCGAACTCACAGAGATCCGCCTGGCTCTGCCTCCCAAGTGCTGGGATTAAAGGCGTGCGCCACCATCACCCGGCTTACTGTATGTTTTATATATGGATTTGAATCAGCTCACCATGAAGCCTCTAAACACTGAAACAGGAAACCTGTATAATGTCTTACGTATGCCTCAATATGGTGGAAACAGAGTACCCTTTGATAAACAAGTTACACAATATGGTACTTGTACTTACAGTGGAAATACACAAGAATGAAGTTACTAATGAGAACCAGGAGACAGTGTAATATGGACACAATTTCCAAAAACATCTTGTGTTACTAATTCCTATTAAACCCAAAGACAGGCATTTATTTACACTAGCCTAACACTGGCACATATCTTCTTTGGCCAGAAGACTTCTAGGCCAGGGAAAGCAGGGCTTGGTGTCCCAGCAACTTGGAGCCTAAGGCAAGAGAATTACACTATCAAGCTATGCTGGGCTCGCTGAGTCTGAGCCTGGGCAGCTTAGTGAGACTGCCTCCAAAACACGCATATGCCCTCCCTACCCACCCCCAAAAAACCAGACTAACCAAAGCATGGGGATGTGGCTCAGTGGCAGGGCACTTGCCTAGCATTCACCAGACACTGGGCCCCCAGGTTCAACCCCCAGCACCATTTTAAACAAACAAACAGAGTCAGAAAGTTAAACATAACTTGTAAGTACAGATCCCGAGTTCCCAATAGTAAATATTTCCCCACGTTTAACCTCCTTCTGTAAGACACAGTTACACACATACACACCTGTCCATCTACTAAAGCTGTAAGTGGAAGATAATCAAAGAGATCTGTAAAGTATTTCCAGACGTTGGCATTTCCATACTTTCGTAGACATTCATCGTAAAAGCCGTACACTTGGGTGATCTGCCGGCTTTCATGATTTCCTCGCAATATTGTAATGCGCTCTGGATAGCGCACCTGGAAGAAAGGAAAAGAAACTTGTGGTACGGTCCTGTCTCACAGTATTCTGTTAGTTCTAACCTCAAATTCACTTCTTTCAATAGTTCTTCTGTCTATCTGTAAACTAACTTAAATTTAAGGACATAAATGAAACAAATGGATTTTATGCTTAGACTTGGGTCCCTATAGACACCCATCTCACTGTGAACATGTAAATTCTCTGAAATCCAAAACTCCCGGGCATTTGTTGAGTCTGGGCAGGAGGCACATGGAGGAAGTGGCTGGAGTAATCTTGTGTGGAACTTGATAAAGAAAGAAGTGCAAAGTCTAGAGCAATGAATAAAAATATTCTCTGTGGTGAGAAGTTTTTGCTATGATCTACAAGCAGGTAAATTAAGAACAGACTACAGAGGAGAGACACAGAGTTTAATGAGTTCGACTCTACTGATGAAGGAATTAACGAAGACTTTGGGAACAGAGGAACACAACACAGAACACAGAGGAGCTAAAGGAGATTTCATGTGGCAGAACAAGCAGGCGGGGGAAAGGGTGAGCTTCCCGAGGCTCAAGTGGGAAGCGCTGAGTGCAGGGCAGGGAGAACAGGAAGTCAAGAACAATGGACTTTTCATGGCATGAACAACAGCTTAATGATTCCACCTGAAGGGTAGTAAGTACTTAAATATAATTCCCGGAGTTCAGTTATGGATGACCCAAATGAGGTACACATTTATCTGAAGTGATGCTAGTTTAATGCACTTTATCTCTCTTTAAAAGATGTAAAGCCAACTATTATTTCAGCCAAACAGACCCGAAATTAAACAGAGGACACACGAAACACTAACATCCTTGCCTTTGGCCTGATTTGAAGCTACTCCTTTAATGCTTACTCATACCTTTAATGCTACAAGAAGAGTCACAGTCTCCACAGAATAATAACCTCTGTCTACGTAGTCACCCATGAATAGATAGTTTGTATCTGGTGATTTTCCACCAATTCTGAAGAGTTCCATAAGGTCATGGAATTGGCCATGCACATCTCCACAGACAGTAACAGGACAGCGAACCTCTTGTACATTTGATTCTTTTGTTAGAATTTCCTTAGCCTGTTGGAAAAGGAAAACCAACAATTAACAAGATTCAGTTACACATTTAACAGCATTTCTTACTTACTGAAGGAAAATCAGGAAAATCACTTGGAAGTATGCCTTATAAAAATAAAATAACCCAGCCGGGCAGTGGTGGTGCTCGCCTTTAATCCCAGCACTCGGGAGGCAGCGGCAGGCGGATCTCTGTGAGTTCGAGGCCAGCCTGGGCTACAGAGTGAGTTCCAGGACAGGCAGAGCTACACACCCCCACAAAGAGACCCCCCCACTAATGGCTACAAAAGCAAAGACCGGCAATGACACGTCTACAAGGACGCCGCCGACTCGGACTCGACGTTGTGCTGGCAGGAATCGAAATTAAAGTGTCTCACTTATCCATGCGACATTATTCTTTTGCTCAAAAGATTTATTTTTACTTTTATTTATTTGTGTCTGGAAACCAGAAGAGGCATCAGATCCCTTGGAGCTGGAGTTACAGGTAGTTGTGAGGTGCCAGACACGAGCACTGGGAACTGAACTCGGGTCCTCCGGAGGTACAGCAGGGGTTAACAGGCAAAAAAGTACAAAGTACTCAAATGCACATTAAGTCATGAATTGATATAACACAGCATACCAAACCAGATTGAGAGCAATAACCAACCACAAAACAACAACAACAACGGGCTGGAGAGATGGCTCAGAGGTTAAGGGCAGTGGCTGTTCTTCCAGAGGTCCTGAGTTCAATTCCCAGCAAAAACATGGTGGCTCACAACCATCTATAATAAGATCTGTGCCCTCTTCTGGCGGGCAGGCACACATGCAGAAAGAACACTTTATACATTATAAAAAAAAACCAACAAAAACAAAAAATCAACAACAAAAACAAAACTGCACTGGTATGTGCTATGATTTTGACAATACTATGCTTTAAGTCAAAGAAGCCAGAAACAAATGGTCATATGATGCATGACTTCACTTATCCTCATGTCCAGAAGAGACAGGTAGAAAGCAGACTAAGACTCCTAAGCATTCAGGACAGTGGAGGATCAGACAGACTCAGAAACAACAGCTGAGGGTAACAAAAGCTCCACTTTTGTGTGGGAGCCACATGTATGTGTTCCAGACTAGCCAGGTCTAAACAGCCAGCTCTAGCCAGCCATACGTACGCAGTAAGATTTATCTCAAAAAGCCCTAAACCAGTCGGGCAGTGGCGGCGCACACCTTTAATCCCATCACTCCAGAGGCAGAAGCAGGTGGATCTCTTTGAGTTCCAGGCCAGCCTGGTCTACAAGTTGAGTTCCAGGACAGCCAGGGCAGTTATACAGAGAAACCCTGTCTCGAAAAACCAACAAGCCATTCCTAAAAAAACCCCACACTAAACTAAACAAAAACCTGTGGTGATAGTGTCCCCCAATATATTGTGTACCTTAATGGGGTCAGAGAACAGAGCAGCCACTAGACAGACATAGAGGCCAGAAAATGGTGGCAAACACACCTTTAATCCTAGCATTCCAGAGGCAGAGATCCATCTGGATCTCTGTGAGTTCAAAGTCACACTAGAAACAGCCAGGCATGGTGACTCACGCCTTTAATTCCAGGAAGCGATGGCAGGAAGCAGAAAGGTATATAAGGCGAGAAAATCAGGAACTAGAGTCGGTTAAGCTTTTAGGTTTTTGAGAAGCTGTTCAGCTGAGATCCATTCGGATGAGGACACAGAGGCTTCCAGTCTGAGGAAACAGGATCAGCTGAGGAATTAGGGAGGTGAGGTAGCTGTGGCTTGTCTGCTTCTCTGATCTTCCAGCGTTCACCCCAGTACCTGGCTCCAGGTTTGTTTTTATTAATAAGAACTTTTAAGATTCCTGCTACAAAAACATTTATTTCCATAACGAATATGTAACTCACTACTTGCTCAGATTAATTTTCCCATGTTTCATGATGGCTTCTACTGACTTATGTTGCTGCTGCTGCTAGATAGAGTCATTACCGTCCTAATGACGTCATGGCCAACCTTATACTACAGGGATGACAGTGTCAGAGCTGTTCTAACATGATTAATGTGTTACTTATGTTTTGAAGTAATGCTGGTACAAAAATCAAATCTACTGTGTGACCAGATGTATAGAAAGTATAGCGCATGCAATTTCATATACACTGTGGCTGTAATATAAGTTACTGTTCATGTACTTTTTTTTGTTAGGGTATTCCTGTGGTACTTTAAAAAACTGTGTAAAACAGTATGCTGAATTCTGCCCACAGCAGCCTTGCATATCTGCATTTCTCATTCCTATGGTAAAATTGCCTAATGATGAACTTCTCAGAACATAACATAAGCATTCAAGCAATGGGCGACTATAGTCCATGGTAATTTTTAGTTGACACAATGCTAGGATTTTTAAAGTCGAGTCTAATACTTTCATGTTTTAAGTTCCTTTCCTGTATGTCTGTGTGTGTGTGTGTGTGTTGTGTTGCTAAAGACCTAACCCAGAGTCTCACACACACTAAAAAGTACTCAATCTACCAATGAGCCACACCCCAGCCAATATTTCTTAGTATCTCATTAAGCATGAACACACATTTAGGGTTAATTTGTTACTGTTTAGGTCTAGTTCGATACTCGCAAACTCTCCTGGATCTTCCATCCAGAGATGACACCATTTCTCTTCCTCCATAATCTACTCAGCGTGTGCCCAACAGAGCACCCACTCAATGTGCTCCAGAGCAGCCTTGGTTTTAGTGAGGAGACCCTTTCCTTGGTTAAATCCTACCTCAAAACAATGACCCACGTGGTCCAGGCTGGCCTAAACTTGATGGAGCTGGTTCTGCCTAACCTCTCCAAGTGTTCGGATTACCACCCCAGCTAGGAGACTTTGGAGGAGGGTTTTAGTAGCCTGCCTTTGCCAAGGAAGTGCTTTCCTTTTTAAAAGCATGTATTCCTATTCCTTTTGTCTGTGTGAGTGCATATGAACGTGTGTGTGTGCCTAGAGGCCTGCAGACATGGTCAGCTCCCGCAGAGCTAATGACAGGTGCCCATGACTCCGAGCCTGTAGCATGGATGCCACAATCTGAACGAACTCTGGCTCTCACAATTGGGAGCAGCCATCCCTCCAGCCCCAGGAAGCTCTTTCAAGTTACAGTGTAAGTACTCATCTGGCCGTGACCCCTGTTATCACCTACTGCCTTACTGATGTGATAAATAAATACCAGTAAATTTTCGGTTATTTTTGCATTCATAACGTAAGTTCTATTTGTTCAAAGTTTTAAAATTCAGATTGTTTTTTTTTTTCAGATGGGGGTCTCATGCAGCCAAAGTTAGCCTAAAATTTGCTATGTAACAGATGATCCTCCTGCCTCTACCTCCCAAACGCTTGGGTTATAAACATGTACCTCATGTTCTGTATTTATACAGTGTTGTAGACTGAACCCAGGGCTTTGTGCATGCTAGGCAAGCACTCTACCTACTGAGCTGCACTGCCAGTTCTGTATGTTTTCAGGAGCAAAAGCCTGACTCTTGGGGTCTGATGTGAAGCTCACTGGTAAAACAAGCGCTTAACGTGATCATGGTCCAAAGCATCCTTCAATCCTGGGGTTTTCAGTCATAGGAACAACCAACTCCTACTCCGTTTAAACCTCTACTGCTTTGGGCTTTCTGTTGTATTTGACAAACTAACCACTAGTTAACACTACACTATTGGAAAAGGGAACTTCTCTTCTAGACACTTACGAAAATAAGCATAGTCTGTCCAGACAATGGAACACTAATTTTTTTTTTTTTAGATTTATTTATTCTGTATACAGTGTTCTGTCTGCACGTATCCCTGCAGGCCAGAAGAGGGCGCCAGATCTCATTACAGATGGTTGTGAGTTGTGGTTGCTGGGAATTGAACTCAGGTCCTCTGGAAGAGCAGTTAGTGCTCTTAACTGCTGAGCCATCTCTCCAGCCCTGGAACACTAATTTTTAATAATAATAATAATAATTTTTAATTCGTGTTTGATATATGAGTGAAAAAGCCAAGTCACAAAACCACGTGATCATCTGTGTAATAAAAAAAAGCTTAAAAACAAAACCAAACCATTGCTGGATATGCTGCAAGGCGGCATCAGACCGGACAGGAACTAGAGTACTTTCTACAGCCAGAAAAAGCAGGCTGCTGTCAAACTGCTGCTGCCCACCACAGACTGCAGTGCTCACAGCTAGTCGGGCAGACAAAGCCCAAGCATTGGTGCATGCTAAGCACAGGAAGCAGCGTAGCAGAGTGCAGTAAGAATGAGAAAAGCAATCAACAGAGGCCTTTCAAGAGCTACCCACTCCTGCCACCCAACTAGAACGGCGGACTAGGAAGTGATTAGTAAGATCACTGCCAGCTACATTCCAACTCACTTTTAGCAGAGGACGACCTCACACTCCTTTCTGAGCCCCTTCCTCCACTTGCCCAGGGCTGCCTGGCTCACAGGGTTCCATTTTCTCTAAAGACTACTAACTCCACACTTCTCTCTAGCAACTCAGTATCCTACAGCAGTGATCCACAGTACTGACTTAGGAGGATCCTGACTGGAAAGACAAAACTGCAGTAAGACTAAAAACTGGGAGCTCGAGCCATGCCTCGGCGGGCTGAAGCACTTGCCTCCAAGCCTGATGATGATTCCATCCCCTGATCACACAGGGGAAGGAGAGAGCTGACCCCTGAAAGCTGTCCCCACCTCTACATGGCTGTCATGCTGTGGCTGTCATGTTGCGGCATGCACCTTCCACCCAATCAATCAAAGGGGGTTAACAGTTGAAAACCACTGTAAACCAAGTTACTGTACCCTCAGTCTGACCTAAGCCAGTTGGATACACCCAGCTGCCTCCCCTCTTGCTGGCCAAGGATCCAAAGAGCCCAGTTATTGAATATGCCAGACACGTGGTCTCCCACTGAGCCACATCCCTACCTCATCCTTTTATTTTGAAGTAGCTCTAAGCAGTGACAACTCTATTCCATCAGCAGTGATCTGTGTACAGTGCTCTAAATTTTTTAGGCTGA